CCCTGTAAAATATCCCTCTTAAATGATCTTCAGCTCCTTCCTTTAAAAATTAACTTATTCAATTCCTAGAATCCCAAATAAAGCAGATTTGGGGCCCATTCTTCTCAAGCCAAAGGAAACTCTCTCTCCTTCTTTAAAAAAGGGCAATTATTCTTCTAAAAAGTGTCACTTAATCTCTGTAAATATTTGAATAAGTAACATATTATGTGAAAACAATAGTATAAATCTCATACATAAGACAAGAGGAACAAGTCTGAAAGCCCTGTCTGCAGTTGAAGCCACAGGGCAGTGGTTCATTAAAGGTATGTGGACATGATGGTAATATGTCAATCCTGGTCCAGACAAATGGGCACTTAGCCATGTACTTTAGGAGATCTCTGATGACCAGCCAAAAGAAGACCACAAATAGATCTCAAATAGTCTTGTTATGAAGTCTGTCTTGGTTAGGAGATGGGAAAAGGGAAAGTGATATATTCTCAAGATACATGTTAAACTCAGTTGAAAACCTTGAACCAAAAATATAAGTGTTAAAAGAAATGTCTATGATCTAGAAATGATTAAAGAGCATGGATGTTTGGTACTAGTTGAAGGGGATCTTCTGTGTAAAACTTAGAAATTGGTGAATAAGTTAGTTTGACAGTCTGATACTTGTTGATTGACAAAATACTTCATCAGGAAGCAATAAAGGGCTACACTAATTGATCATCTGATCAACAAGTGTTTATTGAACACTTACAATCTGCCAAACTGTGTACTAGGAGATTATGATCTTGTTGAGGGAAAGGAAAATTTAAGTTGAGAAAGGGTTTTACTATAGACTAGAGAACACAAAAGCTCAATGGAGGAAACTGGACATGAAAGTGGACTCTCCTTGAAGGTGAGGTATCAGAGGTATATGGTACTGTGAAAAGAATACTAGATATGAAATTAGAAATAGGATAGAATAGAAATTCTGGCTCTGCCATATTCCCTTAAACAAGTCACCTAATTTCCTTGGGCCTCAGTTTCCCCATCTGTAAAACAGAATGGTTGGAATGCATGAACTTTAAGGTCTCTTTCAGCTCTAAATCCTGTGATCCTGTGATTTGGATAAGGAGAGAGGAAGAGGGAAAGTGTTGTAGGGGTAAGGGAAAACCAACATGAGCAAAGAGATTAATAGCATGGAGTGTGCAGAGAAGAGTAAACTGATAGTTATTACTCTTCAGGAGGTAAATGAGAGAAGGTGTGTGCCTACCTGAAAGTATATCTATTGAAGACAGAGAGAGGAAAATTTAGGAATGAAAGAAAGTACTACTTAACACAATGGCTAGTGGACTTAGGGAATTTATTGTCCCAAGGTATAACATAACCTCAAAACAGAAATAGTAACAAAAAAGACTTGGATGAATTTATGAGTGATAGGTCCAAAGTGAATAATTTATATCCTTGCTAATGATACTAATCTAGAATTTTACAGTTTACAAAGCATTTCATGTATATTATCTTGTTTGATCCTTATAATAAATCCATGAGGTAAGCATGGCAGTTGTTGTTATCACCCTGGTTGTATAAATGAGGAGAGATGTCAAGTTATTTACCCAAGGTCACATGACTGAGAAATGACAAAGCCAGGATTATAACTCAGATCTTTAGTTAGTCCAGTAGTGCTTCTATTCAGGACCAGTGTTAAGAGTGTTTGTGATTTGAGAGATATTGTCAATGCCACCCCAAGCCCAAAGGCTGTCCCTCCACTTGTCATGCCACATTGCTCAGGAAGACATTACTTCCTGAGATATTAACGACCTGTTCAAATTTAGGTATTATCTAGGAAGGGTAATACATTAAGTACACATTTAGAATACTATGTCTATATATAATTGATATCACACTTCTTGCCTTCTTGATGGATAGGAAAGAGGCTGGAGGGAGAGAATTTAGAACTCAAAATTTTTTAAATGAATGTTAAATAAATAAAGTGGATAAATGTAAAACAAGGAATACTTTGTATAGATGTGGGCATCATATTTTAAGAGGGAATTGACATGCTGGAGTACATCCATAGAAAGGCAGCCAATAAAGTGAATTGTCTGGAAACTTTGTCATATGAAAAGAGCTGAAGGAACTGGGTTGTGAAGAGAAGACTCAGGACAGTGGTACTTGATAGTTGTCTTGACAATTTCTGGGCTATCCTGTGAAAGAGAAAGTACACTTGTCTTCTGTAGTTTCAGAAAACAAAACTATGCCCAGAGGGTGGAGACATCACGGTTTAGTGGAAAGAACATTGAACTGGGAGTCAGGAGACCTAGGTTTAAGATCAGCATCAAATATTAACCATGTGACCTTGGGTAAGTCATTAACTTATCAAATTCTTATTTTCCTCATTTGTAAAATAGAGATAATAGTGTTTGTACTACCTACCTTAAGTAGTTGTTGTGATATATGAAAATGGGATTTGTTATTATGATAGCTGGTTTCACATATTTGAAGGGCAGTCATAGGAAAGAAATTAGACTCATCTTTTTTGTTGATCCCAGATGGGAGAGAGAGGAGCAGGTGGGTAGCAGTTTCAGAGAAATAGATTTAGGGTTCATGTGAGGAAAAACTTAACAATTAGAGTTAGTCAAAAAATACAGTAAGTTGTCTCAGAAGGTAGTGAGTTCTCTTCACTTAAGATCTCCAAATAGAGGTAAAAAGATAATTTATTGGAAATGTTGTAGAGGTGAGTTGTGTCAGGTACATGTTGGACAAGATGCCCCCTAAGATCCCTTTCTTTTCTCCAATTCTGTCTTCATTTAATAGTGATCTGAAAGCTACAGGGAGCCAATTTTTGAATTAACATAAGGAAGAGCTTTCTAATACTTGGAGCTGTCCAACATTAGAATGAGAAGATCACCATCACCTATAAGATTTAGAGGCTTGGTGTTATAAAGAGGAGTATGAATTTCATCCTCAGACAGAAGGCTGCACTAAATGACTTTTAGAGTCCCTTCTAACTCTAAGACAAGCCATTTTAATAAACCAGTTCCCACCCTAACTTCTACTAATTTATCGTAGTAACTATAAGTCAGCCATTTAATAAGCATTTCAAGGGAATTTTATCCCTTGATAAGAAGAGAGAAAGGTTTGGAGTAGTCCCCAAAGGGCACTACAGTGGAATTCTTTGGGCAGTGTAAGGGCACCGAACATATAGGTAAGGTAGGTACCAAGGTACCAAAAAGGAAGTACAAGGAAATAATAACAACCTCTCAAAAAAACTGCTTTCACAATGCATTATCTCATTTGAGCTTCACTACATTGTTATGATAGGCAAGATAGAAAACTAGGCAGGGAACTAGATTTGAAGACCCGGGTTCTAGTCTTGGCATTAGCCATTTGCTATATAAGTGACATTGAACAAATCTTTAAAAGCCTCATCTGTGAAACTGGAAGTGATGACATTTGACTTTCCCATCCCACAGACAGGGTTCTAGAGTGCAGTTGAACTAGATGCTATCTAAGGCCCCTACTAGTTGGGGAATTTTGAGATCAAATGTTTTAAGATTCTGAGATAATGTATGTAATCGAGGCACACAAATAAAAGTACATTTTTGCAGAAGAGACTAAAGCCCCCAAAGATTTTCATTTGCCCAAGGTCGTATATAGCTAGTAAGTGACAGAGCTAGGACCACCGTTCGGACGCTGACTCCCTCCCGATTCTGTACTCTGTAGGTCATAACATGTTGGAAGGCGATGGAGAGGCCCCGAGGAGACCGTTCCTCTACTTCGTTAGCTCTCCTACTGCTAATTCTGTTTGGGGCCCACCTCCTAACCTTGGAGATGAAAGCTAGAGAAACCATGATGGTCCACTCCTGAATGTCCCTTGATGGCACTGTCAGCAGCCGAAACCACCTGGATGGGACATGGGTGTGACCCAGTATTGCGATTTTGATATTAAGGATGGCGCAAGAGAAGCCCTTAGTAGAAAAGGGGTGTCCTCCAGAGAGGTGGTGGAGGAAAGGGCCGGGTGCTGATTGGAGGTGTGCCCCCTCTGGGCCGGCTGGCAATGGGCGAGTGGGGAGTGGGGGGACAGGGCAACCTGGTGAACAATTGGCTGGGCTGGGCTGCTGGCTGAGGAGATAGCTTCTCGGACCAAGAACAAAAGAGGAGCTCCGGCTAGCTGGCTCCGGAGTAGGCGCTCCAGCCCGACTTGGGCTCCTGTTCTGGGAGGAGGAGGGAGGAGGGGGCCTGATGAGTAGAGGCTGGTGGGGGTGGGGGGCGCTCGGGTTTCACTGGGTAAGGCGACCGCGTACCTAGAAATTAAGCGGCCGAAGACAGCAAGCGCGGGGAGCAGCCGCGCAGGGCGCGCGGGCCGGCGGGCAGGAGGGAGGGAGGGAGGGAGGGAGGGAGGGAGGGGGTGGGGGGGAGGTGGGAGGGGAGGGGAGGGGGAAAGGACGGCGGGCTGGGGGGTGGGGTGGGAGGGGGGATGCTGAGGGCGAGGGAGAACAATAATAAGATCGTGTTGGCGGCCGCTGCCCGAGGAGGAATTCAGAGCGGAACCCATCCGCGCCCTCACCGGGCTGGGGAGGGAGGCCCGCCGCCGCCGCCGGCGGGGTGATGAGGCGGACGACGCGGCGGCTGTGACCAGCGGGCGGGCTCGCCTCCGCAGCTTGTGGAAGAAGCGAAGAGCCGCGGAGCCCGGAGCCGCTGGGACGCGCTCCCTCCTGGACGCCGCGGGGTGACCGCGCGGTGGCCGTTGTGTCCCCTCCCCCGCCGTCGGGGGCTGTGATTTGCCGGGGCCTGGTCCCCGTCCCCCTCCCCCCGCCTCGTCCTCCCGCCCCGCCCCCCGCCCCCCCCATCGCCGAGGCCCCCGCCGCCGCCGCCACCGGGGGAGAGAGGAGGCATCGCCCGGCCGAGCGCCGCCGCCGCCCCGAAGCCGCTTCGCTTCCCGGCCCGGGCCCCGGCCCTGCCTCGCCCCTCGCTTCCCTTGCTGTCCCGGCTCCAAGGCCGGGGGGACGCGCGGGGCGCAGCCCGCAAGGGGGCGGCCCCCCGGGATCTTCGGCGGCGACATTTCAGGGAGGCAGAGGAGGCTCCGGATGGCGCGTCCGCGGCCCCGCGAGTACAAGGCGGGGGACCTGGTGTTCGCCAAGATGAAGGGCTACCCGCACTGGCCGGCCCGGGTGAGTACGGAGCGGGTGAGCGGGCCCGGCGGGGGCCCTGCGTAAGATGCCTCTTCGCCCACCATTTTCCCCCTTCTTTATGGCCGCAAGGACCCCCTTCACCTACCCACTCACCCACCCACCTGCCCTCCTTTGCGCTCACCGCGGCACCCCGCGCCCACCCTGCCCCTCCGCACCCGGAACCAGACGAATGAATCCCTGTCCTCGGTCTGAGGATTGCGAGCCTCCAACAGCCGCGATAGAGGGGCTGGGGCGGGGGGCTCGTTTTCTGTAAGCAAGGCGATGGAGGTGGAGGGCATCGGTTTAGGGGCTTGGCAGTGCTGGGGGTGTTGATGCTTGTAGGGTGCACCCTTCTCGTCCCCATCTTCCCCTCTCTCTTTCCTCCTCCCCACCTCTCACCCCCCCGCAGAGAGGGCAGCCATCCTTTCTTCCGTCTGTAAGTGCACCAGCAGCTTCCGAAGAAAACAACTGCCCTTCCCCACAAAATCTGCCACACACCGGTAGCAGCCACAGGCCCGAATGGTGCCTCTTATTCCGGAAAGTATCGGGTGATTGGGGAAATACACTTGGGAAGAAAACAAGGCCTGTAAAACAAGCCTGTTTTTGAAGCATCAACTCTTTCCAGGGTTGTTCATAAATATCCCAGGTTCTAGGCAGCCATCAGAGCAGGTAGGATCAGGGCAAATGGATTTCTAAACAAGTTAAGTAAATATTTGGAATAATATATCTCTGGTGTTAATCCAAAGGACGATATGGGGTTCTTGGCAGTCGTCCATCTATCTTTCCATGCACCCTTCAAAATCTAGACTTGTTGAATTTTCACTGGGCACAGGTTGTGGTACTATATGTCAGTTGGACTACTAATTTGTATTTGGGGGTTCATAGAGCTGTGTTCTCATCTTTCCTTTTAAATTGGCCTTGAATAACAGGAAGCTTGCAAACTGTCGCTGAGTAAAAAACCCAACAAGCAATTTTCCACCTCGTTTATTATAGCTACTCTATACAGTAAGTTGGCTTTCCATGCTTCACTCTTGTCACCCGTACACTCCAATAACCATTTGTGTATATGTGTTTTTGGCCCAGTGCTCTCTCTCTCTCTCTCTCTCTCTCTCTAGAAAGCATCTGAGTGAATTACATATTCATTGCTTTCCCACTTGATTGGTTCTATTAGGTGACAATGATTGATGCTGACTGTGTCGTGTGTGCTTTAATGAGTTGAAAGTTGTGCATTTTTTGGTCTTGTCTTATCATTTGCAACTGATAGAATTAACAGTATGAGGAATACAATGAAAAGGAAGCTTAAGGAGTCTTAAATAATATTAATTGACTTAATAAAGTGGGCAGAGGGGGAGTTAGTTGTACTTAGAAAGTATGATTCATAAAGCATTCTAAGTCAGAGTTAAATGAAAAATGCAAAACAAGGAAATAAAATACACATGTCAAAGGAGGATATGGCATCAAGGAGGGCCTAACAGAAACTTACTGAAGTAGAGATAATCAGTGCATAGGTTTTTTTTTTTTTAGAAACATACTGAATAAAAGAAATCACTGAAATAATAACGGAGAATATAATGTTCATGTCTATTTTAACTCATTTTGAGTAGCAGAGGAGTGTAAAAAATCATTTGTTCTTTCCTTGTTGAATCTATATTACTCCACTTAAAATTAAGTGTTCACATTAGAACTGTTATTTCTAATATTCAAATAACCATACTGATTTTTTTTAAAAAAGTTTATTACAATGGGAATGAAATGGGTAATCCTGTAACAAGTAGGAGAGTAAAGAAGTGTTATTGTGGAACATAAGAGGAGGGCAACCTACATTCAAGTAGAGAAAAGGGACTGTGAAACTTAGATGCCAAAAAAAGGACCTGAGCCTAAAATTTATACACCACTTTACTGGGTAGTTATGACTATAGAAATTATTCTATAATATGATTGCTTTTTAAACTCCTCTCCCCCCATATGGTGGGGGCAAGGAGAGAAAGACAATCCCCTAAGAACTAAAAAGAAAAAATGAAGGAAATGGATGTAAAAAGCCACAAACACTAGAAAACTTACACATATCTCCTACTATAGGATACCAATGTCCTAGGTGAAATGAGCAAATGGACACAAGGAAAATAATCCCTAGTATAGTATTTGGTCTTGGTAATTGTATCATACATTTCAGGAAAGTGATAACCAAAACAAAAGCATAGGTACACTTTTTCGAAATAAAAAAGAAAACTAGGAAACCAAAGAAGCAGGTAAAAGAGGTGGGGCAGTGGTGGGAAGAAGTAGAAAGGAACAATCTGTATCCATCCGTGTTTCTAGTATAAGCAACTTGTGAGTAGGAATTGGTTCTTTAAAAGTTCTGTACTTTGCTGTGAAGGCTTAGTAAATGATAATAATTGGATTCTAAGAGTACTGTTAAAGTGGAACTTAGAGTATATGAAGTTCAAGGGTAAAAGTGATTCATTCCAGCAATTTTGTGGTTATACAGGGAATCTCTCATCAGCATTAACTTTCAGCAGCTTTTATTAAGGGCTCAAAAATAAATGTTATACTTAAACACAAAAGTGAAAGCAAAACTATTTGCATCATCTTTGTGTCACTGCTGGGTCACACCAAGTGATGAAGATTTGAGAGTCAACAAAGGGATACCTGATTTAGGACTAAAAGAAAAGGGGCATTTCCCGTCTTCTTTTGAATGTTGTGAACTGTAGGAGAGCAAGAGATGAAAAAGGCAAGATAAGTGTAGAGATTAAAATTTGCAGCTTGAAAAAGAACTGTGAACCCTCATAATCTTCTCCACTATTACAGAATAGCAGAAGAGAAAGTAGACTGTTCAAAATACTAATTGTAGGTAGAATAGGGAATTACCTTGGATGTTATGATTTAATTAAGGATTTTATAAATAGGAAATTGTATTTGACAGATTTTTCATGAATTATCACAGGAATTCTGGGCTTTTATGAATTTATGATACTATATTTTAGCTCATAAAAAGTCAATTTGTAAAATTAGTCAAATCTGGCATAAAGAATGAACAATTTTAAAACCTATAAAAATGTTGTGGATATCAAAACTAAAGAAAGTAATATAAGATAATTTGATTTCATGCATTAACTTCCAAATTCCATGAATCTTTTCAAAGTGATCTGCAGGTTGAATCATGGTAGATAGCTAGAATGCTGGACTTGGAATCAGGAACCCTGATTTTTAAAATCTCATCTAAGATACTTAATAGCTATATGATTAGGCATGTTTGAACCTCTTTGAGGCTCAGTTCCCTAATCTGTAAGACAATGATAATAATATGTATAATACTTACCTCACAAGATTTTTGTGAGGAAAGTTTTGCACAGGAATTTTGTGAGGAAAAGTTTGCTTTGCAAGCCTTTAAGCCTACATAAATACAAATTATCAGTTGAAAGATCTTAGGAAGTTAGTGAGGATGTGATAGCACTCTTCAAATATTTGAAGGGTTATCCTGTCAAGAGGGATTAAACTTGTTCTTTTTGGCCTTAGAGGGTAGAAGTAGGACCAATGGATACCAGTTACAGGGAAGCAAATTTAGGCTACCTTAAAGAAAGTATTTCCTGATCATTTCACTGGCCCTAAAACAGAATTATCAGTTCCCCAGCCACTAGAGAACTTTAAGCAATGACCAGATAACCACTTGTCAAGCATGTTGTAGATAGGATTTATTACAGAAGCACACAGGTTCTTTGCAATTCTAGTATTCCCTAATTAGATACACAGTACTGGAAGCCAGGACTATGAGCACAAGGGAGAGATCAAACACACACACACACACACACACACAGACACACACACACACACAGAGTCATGCTTAACAGGAAATCCAGAATGGGGGGGGAGGGAATTGGAAGGAGATGTAGTAGTGGAGAGTTAAAGACCCTTTGGCTTTGACCTTCTCCCAATAAAGTTAGAAGCCAAGATTACGTAGCAATCAGAAATCAGATGAGACAATGTCAAAGCCAGGCAGCTAGTCAGCACAGCAGAATTAGAATGAATTAGACTAGAGACAAGAGAACCTTGAAACCAATACAAAACCCACCTTAGGTGGGTCATCTTTTGTATCCTTCCAGTTATAGCAAGAACCAATTTTTTAATGGTCTTCGAACAAATGGGCAGCTTAGGGTCTGGTGCTCAGAAAACCATTAGCTTGCAGCCATTCACTGAACTGGGAAGAGGGTAACAGTGAAAAGTATTAACATCATAGTAAATGTACAAAGAGACAGTTACTGTGCACTGTGCAGTATTTTAAACACCTCAAGCTCATTAATGTTGTTATGTATTTAGAAAGGTAACTAGTGTCACTGATTCTTATTTTCTGGAAAACCATTCAGTGGATAGAAAATTTCAATTCTTCAAGGATCTACACTTCCATTACTAATGCAGATTGTGGGTCTTAGATCTTTTTATGAATTGCTTTGGCTGAATGAAAATCAGCCCATGGTCAATCTTCTGGGGATGAGTTATTCTGGATTTAGTTTGGCTGGTGTCCATAAGCCAGACACACAGTCCATGTCTGGGCCTATATTCAAAGCCTTTCCAATTTGGTAGTACCTGTCAGAATTTCAGTCCTCCTGGCATAACCTTTGGGAACTCAAGGTGCCAAAGAGACATCAGAATGTGAATTTATTGAAAAAATGGACAAAATAGCTCAAAGTTTTTTAGTTTTCTTGTACCTGGAAGGAGCTGTAGAGATAAACCAATAGTGATAATACCTTATAATAATTTAGGGTTTAAGGAAGAATCTGGTAATTGTTACCATCAGCTAGCTTTATTTTATTCAATTTGTTAGAGACTTAGAAGGAACAATTTATAGTGAGTTTTTACCAAGCTGGTGCAAATAATTCAGTGGGAAAAAAGTAAAATAATTCAGATGAACTGGAAAACACATATATGTAAATAGTGACTTTCACAATTTGAGATACCAAAAAATTATATTCATTTAAATTCTAAATATAAAAATCAGTTTTGATGAT